AAAAAAAAAAAAAGATTAGATTCTACCGCCAACTTTACTTCGAATTAGGGTTTCGCCATTGCGCGCCACCGTACTTCTCCGGCGACTTCGCCGCTCGCTTCTCTTTCGTTCTTTCCACAGGTACGATAATTATACGCAACACTCTATAGTTTCTTCGAATTTATATCCAGCCCTAAGTTTTTAATTCTCAGAACGAGAATCGTTTTATGAATGCCTTATGTTTTTCTCGTTTTCTCGTTTCTTCTTTGGCTGTCTAATTAGAAATTGAATGTGTTTGGGTGATACACGTAGTTCCACAACTTTTTTGGTGGTATGAATTACTCCCCGTCCCAATTTATGTGGCACCCTTTGACTAGGTACGGAGTTTTGAGAAAGAAACGAAGACTTTTGAAACTTGTGGTCTAATTTGTGGTAAGACTAGGCACCTTTCTATATTTGTATGATTGTAGTTCATAAGTGTAAAAGGAAAAATTTAAAGTTAAATTATCTCTAAATATAAAAAAATTGGCATTCTTTTTGGGACATGCTAAAAGGGAAAGTGCCACATAAATTGGAACGGAGGGAGTATTTCTTTTCCCTATTTTTGTCTTTATTCAGAAGTGAAGGGAAAGAGTTGAAACCATGATCATATGTCTATTTAAGTGTGTATTAACTTCTATTTGTTACTCCAATTTTAGAAATACACGATTCTTGAAAATAAAAGTTTTAATTGCCATTGAGGCATCCATAGATTATTTTGATCCGTTTTAGAAGTCAGATTGTGTTATGCCCCAAAGATTGATTCATACATGACACACAATTATCTTGCGAATTAAGCTTATTGTATTGCCAATCCAGCAAACACTGGTCAATTACAACTCGAAATCAAATAAGCTTAAATAGAAATGCTTCTAACTATTACACTGCAACTGATAATAAACACCATTTGTGGCCAACTATCATTGGAAATCCATTTTTGGAAGTTTGATAATGTAATTGAAGAAGAACGTGAATTGGAGTTTTGGGGTGGGGGGTGGGGTGGGGTGGGTAATCCACATATCAGTAACAGAATTTTGAGACGGAAAAAAGAGAGAAGATCAAGAACAATACCAGAAAACTTGGGTTCAAAACTCTGAATTCTCTTCTCACGTGTCATTTGTATGCTTGGCTTGGGAATAAACACGAGTCAGCGATCCACTTTAATGAAGGAAAGATGTTAGTTGTCCACGTATCTCAGCTTATTACGCTGAACACCAACTAAGTTTAACTAACTTTTAAATCTTTTTTTTGAGCATACCTTACCCCTACATTGTGATGATAGAAAGGCTGTTTCCGACAAACCCTTGCTCAAGGAACAGTGAAAATAAAGTAACAAACAATAGCAGCAACAATATAATAGGAGCAAATGGCACAACATGTAATAATAAAGAACCAGGAATAAGAAAAATGCAAAAATGGTACTGGTACTACTGATAAGACTAAGAGACTAACTACTACCTGTCAACTTTCCACCCGAATTCTCGACCTCCACCATTTCCTATCGAGGGTCATGTCCTCGGTAAGCTGGAGCAATGACATATATTGTCTAATCACCTCACCCCAATACTTCTTTGACCTACCTCGCCTTTCCCTAGACCCACCATGGTAAACTTCTCACACCTCCTGACTGGGGTATCTATGGATCTCCTCTGTACATGCCCGAGCTATCTCAGCCTCGATTCCCGCAGTTTGTCCTCCATCAAGGCCACACCCACCTTGTCCCTAATAATTTCGTTCCTAATCCTGTCTTTCCTGGTATGCCCATACATCTATCTCAACATCCTCATTTCAGCTACCTTCATCTTTTTGACGTGCCAATGCTCTGCCCATACGGCATAGTTGGTCTAACCACCACTCTATAGAACTTGCCCTTAAGTCTTGGTGGCTTCTTCTCACACAGAAGCCTAGTAGCGAGCCTCCATTTCATCCACTCCGCTCCAATTCGATGAGTGACATCTTTGTCAATCTTCCGTTACCTTGGATTACAGTCCCAAAATATTTGAAATTATCCCTTTTGGGGATGACTTGTCTATCAATTTTCGCTTCCACTTCTGCTTCAGGCATCCCATCACTGAACTTGCACTCCAAGTGCAAACATGTAATTTTTGACCCTCCCCAAAATTTTACACATTTTACCGTTTAAATATTTAGTTTAGGTCTAATATCGCTATTTTAACTAGTTTTGACTCTTTTACTTTATTTTATCACAAAAATGAAAGTTACAAAAAATATTTTCTGTTATTTAGCTAATTGTTATTTTATCTAGTTACTTTTAGTTTATCCGCCTTTGATAAAATTAAAAAATACATAAATAGTATTGATATTATATTTTTCCAAAAAAAAGGATAAGAAGAAAAATTTTGGACTAATTTTGTCTTGTTTTTATATGATAAGATCATTATTTTGAGCTTGACTTGGCCCACAAGAGGCCCAAATTCGGATGACCCTAAACTCAAGACCCATAACCCATCTCCCCTTTAAATCCTAGCCATTCATCCCATTTAATCCTAGGGCTATCATTAATTCCCCACCCAAAATAAAAACCCAATTTCACAAACCCTAGACCTACACATCTACCGCCCCTACCCTTCCAGAAACCAATGAACCTCCAGGTCTTCAGCCAAAACACCTGCACACACAAAAAACAAACAAAAATAAAAAAGGGATACACACACTCATAGAAAAGGAAGAACGAACAGGGAAGGAAATTGGTTGCCTCCCCCAAAATGACTCAACTCCTCCCAATTTCCAATAACAACTCCTAGGTTCAAAGAGCTAAAATCTGCCGCCTCCAACTCCAAAAATTATCCATACTCTCCAACACCCAGCAACCTAAACACACGATTTTGGATAGAAATTGGTATAGGAAAGTGTTGGGGTTTTGAGAGCTCTCTTCTCGGTTTTCTTTGGTATTCCAAAAATCAGGGAAAAAAATATTTTAATCTTTTTGTCTCTACTTTTCAATTCTAGTTTTGACTTTAAGATGAAATTTAGTTGAAATTCAAATTTTGTTCGTCGTCGCTGCCCGAGGCTTGCCGTTCGTGGTTCTGTCCAAATTTGATTATTATTTGAGTTCCTGTTACTCTGTTGTTGATTCGAATTTCGTTCTTGAATTCGTTTGTAGCCGCACCATTTAACAGAATACATTAAAGAACAAAAAGCTTCATATCAGGTTCATCCATTTTCTCTTTTACTATCTCATGTTAGTGTTAGTGTTGATCTGAATATGATGAGAGCCGTGGTTAATCTGCTAGGTCTTAAATGTTCCGATGAATAATTGTCGCTTGGATCTGTTCGGATTTAAGTTAAAGGATCAGTGTTTGGTTGATCTCGTGCTTGATAATTAAGCTCAAGTGACTGATTCTTTGCTTGCATTTCCTGGAGTTTTGTTCGTTTTCTTGAAGTTGAGCATTTGCTCATTTACGGTCAACTAAGTTTAATGGATTAGGTGATCATATGAAAATTGGACTATTGATATGTTAGAATGCTTTAAAATTCATCAAGTTGAAGCATGGGTGTTCGTGGCATTTTTCTAGCAAATTGTTTTTTTTTTCCTATTTGCCTTTATTTGGTTTAAGAGGGAAGAATTGGAGTTTCTTTTGAAAATAGTGATGCCTATTGTGCGTGAAGTGAGCTGATAGAGTCCTTTGAGTACGCTAGTCAAATTGTTGTTGGTTTAAGTCTGCTCAGTCTTTGTTTCATGCGAGTGAAAAGGAAAGGTCTAGCTAGCAATTGTGTGCAATTTTAGTCGCTTTCTCATGCCTACTGAGTTTTTTTTTAGTTGCTTATAACATGTCATCATTCATGATTAAAACCAACAAACTAGTTTTTCTTTGACGTGAAAACTGTTGGAAATGTTGAAGTGGCTTAGGAGTTAATCCGTTAATGGTGGAGTCGGATATCACCATATCTACATGTATGGCTAAATTGTTATTCCTTGATGCAAATCTGCTGTTGTGTAGTAGATTGAGTTGAAATCATGGCATCTCGTTTATGATCTTCATGGTAGGACTCCTGAGAGTTTGTTCTTAGTTGTGTTGTTTGGTTGTTTCTTCCTAATCATCATGTTCGGAATTGTTTCTTCGTGGAAAAGTTTTCTAAATACATCTTTGATATGATACAATTTTCGTTCCCATATGAACATTGGCGTGAGTCGTTGGATTATTTTTAGCATGCAAGCTTGCTTTGGATGATTATGTACACGTTCGCGGGACATAGTTACAATTTTTAAACTTAAAACTGAAATACACGTTCGCGTGACTTTGGCCAAACAATCTGAATAATAATAAAGTGTTATTGATTGTGTACGCGTACACGTGACATGATTTTTGACGCGCCAAACAAAAAAAGAGTACACGTACGCGTGACTCGTTTGAAGATGATTTCATAATTACGAATAATCAAGCAACTAAAAGCGGTAAGAGGGTAAACACACATAGGTTCTAAAACGCGTAATGAAACAATTTAATTAATCTAGGTATGATTAAAGCGACCGTTCTAAAATCACGGAATCCGGGAATGCCTAACACCTCGACCGTGCTAAAATCACGGAATCCGGGAATGCCTAACACCTTCTCCCGGGTTAACAGAATTCCTTACCCAGTTTTCTGGTTTCGCAGACTTAAAACGGAGTCAACTTTCCTCGATTTGGGATTTAAAATAAACCGTTGACTTGGGACACCATAAATTATCCCAAGTGGCGACTCTGAATTAAATAAAATAATCCCCATTTCGATTATTGTCACTTTAATTGGAAAAACTCCCTATCCCCTCGAGAAAAAGGAGGTGTGACACCAAGTATTTTGTTTTCGACCTGCTCAACTTGAAACCTTTAGGCTCCAGTGTCTGTCTCCAAACCTCCAACCTTGCGTTACCCCCCACGTCTCATCATTCAGTACTATGTCATCTGCAAATAGCATTCACCATGGCACCTCCTTTTGTATGCGTCGCGTCAGCACATCCAATGCCGAGGCAAACAAAAACGGGCTAAGAGCCGATCCCTGATGTAACCCAATCTCCACAAGGAAATGCTCGAGTCACCACCCGCAGTCCTCACCCGGTCATAGCTCTCTCATGCGTATCCTTAATCACCCTAATGTCTGCTACTGAAACACCGCTAACCTCCAAACATCTCCATAGGACCTTCCTCGGGACTTTATCGTAGGCTTGCTTCTCTGACAAGTGTCACAGTTATTGACAAGTTTCACCACATCCTTTTTCATGCCAAGCTGGTAAAATAGTTTTTAGTCCTTTTCAAATTTTGGAGTTACCCTGAACGTCCTCAGTTGGTGAATGTCTTGAATGTCCTCGAATTCCTTTTCAAAAACAGTTGCGATTGGTGAGTGTTATTGTTCGAGGATATGTTTTTTAGAAGGTAAATAATTTTATTGATGGTGGATAAACTCTCTATACAAGACATATACCAAAAAGTAGAGAACCTGCACCAAAATATGGTTCTCCACAAAAGAAGCCTATTTTTCTATACAAAATAGGGACCTTACGGGTACACCAAAAAGAAACTAGGAACAAGAGACTACTTTGCAATTTCACAAATTTCTGGTCTACCCCATCGAATACCCTCCTATTTCTCTTAACATATGACCCACATTATGGTTTGTGGAGCAACATCCCATGCCCTTTGACTTCTTCTCCCTTTCCTACATGCCCAACTATGCAACACCTCCTTCACTTTGCCCGGCATCACCCATTGCACTCCAAACTGACTATGGATCACCGATGGCAATTGTGTAGCCACCTGACTTGCACATGAAGCACTAACTGACATAAGTGATCCTCCTCTTTCTCAGGTTCTCGGCTGTCAGTATCACTCCCCTGGATGTTAGATCCAAAGAAATACATCTTCTTGGGCGCTCTGGGATCCCAAATAGAGCGGTGTGAGAAAGTAGTTTCCTCTCTCTCTAGCAGGCTCTGATGAAAAGACTTAATTGTGAACAAACCATCCCGATTCTCTGACCATTTCCATACATCATGTGAAGTGTGAGTGATGTATGCCCATACAGAAGCTCAATCAGGTTGCGAAATTCACCCAATTCCAATAGGTCCCTCCTAAATCTTAAATCCCAAAATACTTCCCTGGCATGCGAATCTAATGGACTGTGAGTTCTTTATGACACGAGACTCTCTATAAATTAGGGAAAGCCTCCTAAGCTCGCTATCTCCACTCCACTTGTGTCTCTAAAAATTGATTCTGTTTCCATCCCCAACCCTGAAGACAAGATGTCGCCTGAACTCTTACCATCCCTTCATAATACTCCTCCATAAGCTGCATCCAATTGGGACTGTGATGTTCATTGACCTCCACCCTCCTACCATAGTTCCATACTTCTCTGCTACTGCCCTTTCCATAGTGCATTCTCCTCCATCCTAAACCTCCATATCCACTTGCCTAACAGAGTTTTGTTAAGGATTCTTAGATCCTTCACTCCCAGTCTTCCCTGCTTGTTACAACATTCCAATTTACTCGATAATACTTCCTTGTTCCGTCTGCTGCATCTTAAGTTGCCTGAGCTTCTCACATAGATGAGATCTGACTTCTTTTGTACACCTGATTAATATTTGAACACAGGTATAGCTGCTGGATCAAGTATTCATTTAGCCATCGTCTCCTTAATTTGATCACTATTCACTTGTTTCAGAAATTTGCTGCAACTCTTTTGTCAAATTAGGTAAAGCAGCTGTAATGGCATTAAGTGCTTCTTCTGGTTTCTCTCTTTGAAAGGGCATGAACTACCCCATTTTCATCTTCCCTTTTTGTATTGAATTTCATTGTCAAATCCAAACTTCTTAGTTAACCCCATTCGAATAGCTTTAGTCACTCTCTGCTCTAGTAACTACTTAAGGGTGTAGTGATCTCTCTTGATCATAAAGTATTTATACTACAGAGGTCTCTCCATTTTTCCGCTATGTGTAGTATGCCTTGGAACTCCTCCTCATAGATGGATTTACCCTAATGCAAGGGAGCCTAGTGCCTTGCTTATGAAGGTTATTGGCCTGTTGTTCTGCATGGATACTGCTCCTATCCCACCTTAACAAGCATCTGCCTCACTGGCAAATTCCTAATTAAAATCAGGAAGAGCCAATACCGGGGCTGCCACCATGGCCTCTTTCAGAGTTTCAAAAGCTTTTTTAGCTTCATCTTTTCGAAATGCATTTTGTCTTAACCTGTTAGTTCGTGGTTTGCTTGTCTTCCCATATCCAGCAATCTAGGCCAAAGAATCCCCTCAGTGCTTTTATTTTCCTTTTCCATGCTTTTATGTTCTTAGGGCTAGGCCACTCAATCATAGCATGTACTTTGATGGATTGGTGGCAACTCCTTTTGCTGTAACTGTGTGACCCGAAGTACTCCACCTTATGCCCTCCAACAGACCAATTAGACCTCCTTGCAAGTAAGGAATTTTCCTCTAAGCTTTTTTCAGTTTCACATACGGTTTAACTGTATAGGCTTGCATTCATGGCCCATGGAGTACCTATCCCCTCATCTGTAGCACAAACTATGGGCCTTTGGGTATGCAAAACCCCCATGTGATGTAGTGTTGTTCTTAGCATTGAACACATTAGTGGCATTTTTAGTAGCTTGAACTCCCTTATTAGCAATCGCTCCAGTCTGGTGCTACCATCAGACATATACCTCAACTTGCTCCTCTTTAACATAGCCTCTATGGGTCACAACTCACAAGCCTGAAGACGTGACAGATAGTTTAACTTCTTCTTTCAATCCTCCCACAAAATTAGATAGGAAGTACGCATCATTCATAGTTGGCTTCCGGATAAGCAAATGAGCCCTGAGCTCTTCTACAACAACAACAACAACAAAAAATCTAATGAAAATCCAACAAGTAGGGTCGGGAGAGGATAGAGTGTACGCAAACCTTAGCCCTACCTTTGTGAAGGAAGAGAGGCCGTTTCCGATAGACCCTCGACACAAAAAAATATGGGAAAGAAGCAATAGCAACAAGCAGTTCCAACAACACGATACTAGATAAACTAAAGCGAAAGAGACTAGAATGGGATTAAGGAACAGAACAACATATATTAAAAGAAAACTAAGCCTAAGGGAATACAAGAGCAATACGAAATACTAAAGGTATCGAAAAGAAACACGCTCAACAACCTACTAACCTTCTACCCTAAGCCTAAGGGAATACAAGAGCCCTTAGCTCGTCGAATTTCTTAAAGTATTCACTGTTCTTACTTATTAAAAAGGTATTCTTCAACTGTCCCTGTTTGCACCATTTTGTTAAATTCTTTTACCACATCTGCCACTAGTGACTCCACAAACCTTCTGCAAGTGTTATCTCTAAATTCAGCCCAGGTTACCACACCTCTATTCAACAAAAGGTTGATACCACGATTCAGCCCTCTAATTCAAGTAAAGGATAGCTCGTTCTAAGTTTTGCACCTTAGGTACCCTATAATCTGAAAGTATAACACTTTCTCACCCATACCATAGGATCACTACCCTCAAATGATGGGAAACCTGATTTGGGTAAGTGAGAATGCAATCCGTTAAATTTGATCATTCATCCATCATTGACAGGAACAAGTAGCAATCCAACCCCAGGTCGTGCAACAGCTTCAATTTCTCTTTGCTCTGCCCCCTTTCAGAGGCTACCAGTCGATCAGAAATGTGCTCAAACTTCAAAGAGGGCATGAATGCCTGCTTGAGAATCGTTCAATGTACTATGACAAAGTGCTAATTCATCCCCCCTTTGATTTGTCTCCTCCAACGATTCTTCTTGTCTCCTCATCCTTTTATCAAGAGTTTTAATCAAGTACCCTCTGTAATAGTTCACCCACAAGGACCAGAAAGATGCTCTGATACCTATTGTTATACCCCAATAACTATCACTTGACACAAACAATTAATGCTGAGTCAGGCTAGTTTTATTGCCACACCAGTGAACCATTCAATTACAACTAGAAATTAAATAAGAAACTTAAATGGAAATGCTTCTATTACACTGGAACTGATAATAAGCACCATTTTTCAGCGACGTATCATCAGAATCCTGTACTCGACAATGTAATTGTAGAAGAATGTGAATTGAAGAAGAAAGGGAAATCGACATGAATTGGTAACGGAATTTTGGAGAGGGAAAGAAGAGAGAGAAGGTCGAGAACAATACCAGAAAATTTGAGTTCAAAACTCTGTATCTCTCTCTTTGCACGTGGCATTTATATGCTTGGGAGTAAAGATGAGCCGTCCATCCACTTAAAATGAAAGAAAATCTCAGCCTTTCACGAGTCTCGCTTGTCACTCTTACTCAGCCTTCATTAACACTGACTACTTTTAACTAACATATTGGATTTCGAAGTGGTGCATAATTCCAATTTTAGAACTATCCAATGCTTAACGATCATAAGATTTTCACAGCAACAAGGCTTCATTTTCATCTGAAAAAAGCTTTTCTACTATATGGATATGTTTTCCCAGTTAAAGAGTATAAGCCATATCTTAACTCCATGCTTTTTAATCTTTGTATACTGGGTGAACTTCATCGGCAGGTAGTCAGGTATTCCTCCAGAGCATTTGGGGAAAGTGGGTATGGCATCTTCTGATGATGAAGTTGAAGCAGTCCCGAGTACTGTCTCTAACTATGAATTTGTAGATGATAAGGATGAGCCTGTTTCATTCGCGGACCTAAAATTTCAGTGGAATGAAACTGAGAGTCTGGATGGGAAAAAAAGACATGTTTTCTTGCGTGGGACTGCGGATAATGGCCTTCAGAAGATTTATAAGCAGGTCACATCATGGAAGTTTGATTTTTCACGTATAGAGCCAGCGGTTTCAGTTTTATCTAAAGAGAACGGTTGGATCAGACTTGAAAAACCGAGGAAGGCTTTCCAGGATACCATTAGGTCAATCTTGATCACTGTGCATTCCTTGCACTTCCTGAAAAAAAATCCAGAATCTTCTGGCAGAGCTTTGTGGGATCACTTATCTAAAGTTTTCAGGTTCCCATATTATATATAGTGTATTAGCATATATTTTCTTTTTGTCGAGGAGAATCTAGAATCTTACCCATGTTTTTGTAGTGTGTATGAGCCCAGGCCTTCGGAGAATGATCTAGTGGATCACATGAAATTTATCAATGAAATTGTTAAGCGTGATGGAAAATTGGCTCAATCCAAGGTTTGTATGATTCCTTGCTTTGATTGGAAAGATCTCTAGTTCAAATAGTTTTAAATTCACCTTTGTTATCTGTTAGTTTTCCCTCTTTTTTAAGGAAAACACCCTACACTAGGAGATACATTGCATTAAGGGTAAAAACTGAATATAAGTTAGCAAGTTATTGGCTGATATCACTATTAAATGTTCCACTTTACCTATGCTTCAAATAAATCGTGGGGTGAGGTTGCTGGGAGGTACTTAGAATCCTTACTTAAAATGAAAAGGAAGTATTTAAAATGTGAAAAGTGGAGTAGTTGAAAGATATCACATAACAATGGTTTATTTAGTTTTTGAATTGTTAGGCGAAGAAAAATTTGCCATTTAAGGAAATCAGCCAAGGAAAGCTCTTTATGGGGGACTCTGTTAACTAAAGGGGAGGTCTCAAGTACTTTCTATGTTAGAGATGAGGTACAAGAAGTTTTTGTTAAATTAGAGTCATACGGCTTGTTTGGACGTCGTTCTTTTTGGCTAAAAGTGCTTCTTTTTTTTCCCCCAAAGTTAAGGTGTTTGACCAAGCTTTTAGAATGAAAAAAGCGTTTTGAGTAGCAGCAGAAACAATTTTTGAGAAGTAGAAAAAAAATTACTTTTCCCCAAAAGCACTTTTGAGAAAAATACACTTAGAAGCACTTTTTAAAAGCTTGCCAAATATAATTGCTGCTTAAATGCTTTTCAAATTAATTAGCCAAACACAAATTGCTTTTCAATGAAAGTGATTTTTTGAAAAACACTTCTCAAAATAAGTTGAAGTGCTTTTCAAAAAATTACTTTCATTGAAAAGCAATTAGTGTTTGACTAATTAATTTGAAAAGCGCTTCTCAAAATAAGTTGATGTTTTTTAACCTTTACCTTATCAAAAAAAAAAAAAGTTGATTTTAGAAGCACGGCAAAACGTGCTATCAGTCTCTCTGGAATTCGCCACAATTTAAAAGATATATTTAAACCTTTTATGTCAACAAGTGAACCTTGAAATTTCCAAAAAGATGTTCACTCAATTGAATAATGATATCTATTGCCTTGGTGGTAAAACAGAAAAAGAATGAAAGAAGAAAAACATGGCATGCTCACTGCTCGAGAGTCAAGTCAAAAGTATTTTACATCGGCCATTGCATATTTGTTTGTGAATTTTCATATATGGCTTTAATAGTACTTCACACGTATCCTAAAACGGAACCCTTCAATTCCATTTTTACATGACCCTGTTTGAGCGGGCTTCAGAATTTAGGAGTTGATTTAACATATCTATTACTACATAAGTGACAATAAAAGAAAATAATTAAGTGATGGTTGAATAGTTAGGTTTACCGAGAAGACATCATATAGGTTAATGAACTTGAATTCTAAAAAAATGTGAATTTTATATAGGAATAATAAGATATGGTCATACACTGAGATATTCAAAATGGAGAGAGGGTCATATAAATTGGGAGAAGTGGAGTGTGTCTATATATATATATATATATATATATATATATATTTTGTGACGACGGCCCATTTAACTTTCTTAATTCGCATATCCTTACTTGAAAGTACTTTCTCTCTGTCATAGTGTTTGAGGGAGTTTTCTCTAGAACTCTAGGTCAAGAGTTCAAGGCTGGTAAGTCGCAAACCAAAAAAGTACCTCTCGTATATCTCATAAATATACATAATTTTTTTTCGTGGACTGAATTACCCGATGTCTGACTTGAGATGGAATAAAGTACTCCAGATCAGGTTGTTCCTTTTTGGCCTGAGTTTCTCCTTTTTCCTTCAGGAATCTGTTTTTCTTTCCTTTCCTCTTCTCAAGTATTTCGCATCTTTATAGTTTATAGCAAAGGGTGAAACTGATCTTATTTTCTGCAGGTTTTACTTACTTTTTTGGAGGAGAAGCCTAAGAAGAAGAAACTATTTGATGAGGTTGTACATATTCTTTCCCTTGCTTTTCTAAGATAGGAAAGCAGGAGTTGAGAAACAGAACATCTGGTTTTCTTTTTGAGCTTGTGCTTTGTTTATTTTGTCAGGTTGGGTCAATATCCGAGTTTATAGTCGATGATATCATAGATGACAATGAAGAAGAAGAAGAAGATGATGATTACAATCACTTCGAATCTCTCTGCGCAATATGTGACGATGGTGGTGAACTTCTTTGGTGTGTGCTTAGTCCTTATCTTACCAGAAAGACAACTCTGATGTCCAGCTTATGTTGTATTTTTTCCTTGAATATGCGCTCGCTTAGTTGAACTAAGTTTAGTTTGCCAAATGTTTTCATCTTATCTGATTTTCTTTTTTCAATGTTCCATTGTTAATGTTTTATTTATTCCCAACAATATGGATTTGCACATAGGTGTAGATCATTGATTCAGGTTGTTTGGTCAGCTTATCATAACTATAAAGAACAGAAAGATAAGCTCTGCAGTCCATTGTCCTACTGAATACATAGTGCATTCAACTGTGTTTGAAGTTAACGACATGTTCTGGCTCCTAGGTCTTTGTTGAGTTTTTCTTAGTTTGTTTTAGTGATATCAAATTGACATTTTTGTTTGCACCTACTTCTGCTGAGAACTTTTGTAATTTCAAAGTGTATATCTACCTGATAGTAGTATGTAGTTACATCCTAATTCTCTCTTTTCCGAGGTGGTTAATTTTGGTTCTGAATTGCTTATTGTCGTCTTAAAGCGTAATTACTAGTGGCTTTTTTCTGTTTCTCCAAATAATATGCCCCTTGTGATCTCAACCAGTTGCGATGGAAAGTGCTTGAGGTCATTTCATGCTACAGTGGAAGATGGTGCTCAATCTCAGTGTGAGTCTCTTGGATTTACCAAGGCTCAAGTTAGGGTATGTCAAAGTTTGCCTGAATTTCGTTCCTTCTAATGAACTTAATTTTCATCTCTGCTTAGCATATTGCTTCCTACTAATACAAGTTTTTCTCCTTCAAGGCAATGAAATATCAAGATTTCTATTGTAAAAATTGTGAATATCAGCAGCACCAGTGCTATGCTTGTGGGGAGTTAGGTTCTTCTGATCAATCATCTCATGCAGAGGTACGAACAAACCTGTGTGACCTGCTGGAATAGTACAATTGTTTGAAGATGTTCAGCCATCTGCTACTGTTGAATGTTGACTGTTAAATCAATATAGGAAAATAGTGCGTATAGTAGTACATGATTGTAGCGTATAGTATATTGAATTAAGACTTACAACTGGTTAATCCAACTGTTATAGTCCCCATTGATTTCTGGATATGCCTGCAATGCCACTGAAAATATTCTCCATGGGTACGGCTGTTCTCACTCTTTTAATACATGCACTAACTGCTTTGTCCCAGAAGTTTTCTTCAGAAAAGCCCGGTGTGTGATAGCTGGACTGAGGGGTACTTAATATTGGAGCTACTTCTTTCTGTGTAAAACTGGAGTCCTTTCATTATATTCATTCTTGCTCCTCATGCGCACTCATCAGCTCTATTACACTGCTCTTTCTCCAAACTCTTTTATGTTTTGGTTTGTTGGGGTGCTGCTGCTGCTTCTTATTCTACCTACTTCCTCCTTTTTGACGGTAGCTTTGCTTCTTCCTTTTTTTCTTTTAGTGTTTTCTTTTCTTTTTTCTTCTACCTAATACCACCTTTAATCATACTTGGTGCTCATTTTTCCTTTCTGGTAGGAATTGTTAACTCCTGCTCCCTGTGGCAGTAAATGAAAAGAAATTTCGCAACAAAAGGCTAGCATAAGCGCCTATTGCATTTAATTGCATGTATGATTCTATTTCGTTAAGAAAACAATTAGTAGTGCATATCTGTGCTCTTGATGTTATTTTCGAGTTTGTACTTTAAATTGCAGCTTTTTCATGGATATGGTTAAGTCAAACTTTTGGGTATGTTTTTCAGGTCTTCCGTTGCGTTAATGCAACTTGTGGCCATTTTTACCACCCAGATTGTGTTGCCAGACTGCTTCATCCTGATGCTCAGTTGAAGGTTGATGAACTTAGAAAGAAGATCGCTGCTGGTGAACCTTTCGCTTGTCCTCTGCATCAGTGCTGCGTCTGTAAACAGAGAGAAGATAAAGATAAAACCGAGTTACAGTTTGCCATGTGTAGACGGTGTCCAACATCATACCATCGGAAATGCTTGCCTAAGTACTTACTTTATTGCTCCTTGATATTCTCGTGGACACTGGACAGTACTTTGTGTACAAGTGTAACTAGTCTTATGTAAATGGCCAGGGAAATTGTTTTCGACAAAAGCAAGGATGAAGAAGAAAATGACGAGGACGAGGATGAGGAGATGCCAAGGGCATGGGATGGTCTTATACCAGATCGAATTTTGATTTATTGCTTGTGAGTTCTTTACATGTCACTTCTGCGTTTACTTCATCTGAGCTGGTATTTTTCAAGTGAGCTTTACTCTAATTTTTTCCAAGTGGCTTAAACTGACAAATTCTTCAGAAAACATGAGATTGATGAAGAGCTTGCTACACCTTCAAGAAATCACATCAAATTTCCGGGAGACCATAGGAGGGGAAAGCAAATATCTGAAGAATTGGACAAACTAAAAGGAAAATCTGCAGAAGTTACTAATGGCAGAGTGATTGCTAAAAAACCAAAAACTGATGAAAAATTGTCCAAGGCAGTGAAGGATGATTTTTCCAGAAAGAGAGAGAGGAGATTGTCTCTACCGGATTCTTCAAAAAGACAAAAAGTAATTGATGCTACTAGGAAGAGTTTGAACAAGACATCATCTGCAAAGCTCAACAAAACTGTCAATAGTGAAGGTAAAGCCTCTTTAGGTCTAAAGTTATATGCACTCATTAGCAGGGAATCACAACCCGTTGAGTCTAGTGAAGAGGGGAAAACCAAGATCATGAAGTCTGACAAAAAGGAAACAAGCAGTTCACAGACTTTAGATGCTATAGCAAAGAGCAGGTGAAGCACTCTAGCTCTGTCAATAACTATTTTCGCTTGAGGTTCCACAGATATAACAGCTTTTCCTTTTCCTTGCTTAGAATGAATGTTTTAACTCATAGCTATAAATTTTGACACGGTGGAAATGTGGTTTCATCTTAAAATGGTTTTGAAAATTACTCCAGATGTAGGCTGCTAATGAATCCCAAACCCAAAAAATGACCCCCATAACAAAAAAAGCTAGTTTCTTGAATGAACTGAATTAACATGATATAATTTTTTGTTGTTTTAGTTCTGCTTTTTCTTTATTCTACTGGCATATGGTAGGATGCTGTATTTGTGCTTTTCTCGAGGTCTGATCCATGTATTCCTTTCTGTTTTCGGTGACTGATAAGATGCTATTCTGATTTCCTTCAGAATTTTGTCTATTATGAAAGACGTCAAATCCTCTATAACTATGGATAAACTGGTGAAGCAAATATCACCAACTACACATGCATACTCGTCAAAATTTGACAAATCTATAACCTTGGGGAAAGTGGAGGGTTCCATTGAGGTACTTGAGAAACTATTTTTTATGCTGATTTTTGTTGAAAGTATCTTTAGTATGACCTATTTTACCAGATGTCCTGGAGCGACATCCAATAAAAATGACCTATTTTATGTCTTGCAGGCTATTCGTGCGGCCTTGCAAATATTGGATGAAGGGGGCAAAATTGAAGATGCAAAAGCTGTCTGTGAGCCTGGGCTTCTTGATCAGATAATGAAGTGGAGGGTACTTGTCATTCTTCTTTTTAATTTGCTTATTCTAATTGCCTTGAGGTCTGAACATTTAGTTGTCCATGCTAACTTAAATATATGCTGTCTTTGACCTTAAGCAGCATCAATATGATATGATGAACAATGCCCCTTCCCTCTTCAGACAAAAAAGAAAGTGATATTTTTGAGGGGTGCGTATTTCTGGAACGCTGTAGCATATAGTAATATGCTTACACCCCTAATATCAGATAATCAAAATGAAACTGTTTAGTACTTTTTTCTTATTGGTGTAAAGAATGACCTGTAAATGATAGTGACTCCATACTTGATATCATAGAATCCTTGTAAGTTCTATTAGTAGGGGGATTCTTTACTCTTTTTGGGATATGTATTTTGTCACTTCTACCAGCACAAACTTTGTGCTGTTTTCTTTTATAAAATGTTACCGTTCTCAAAAAATAATATGCTTACACCCCTAGATTGGTCCTGTGGTCCAGTGTCCAACTGCAAACCTTGATCTTTGTCGAATCCTGGTTCCCCTTCCCCCTGTGGAGCCAAGCACACATTCTCCAAAAGCAGTGTTGTAAAAAAGCAGAGCGCTTCATCGCTTAAAGGGATGAAGCGAGCCTATGGCGCTTCAAGGGTGTGAAGCGAGGCGATCTTAATGAAGCGACCGCGTCATGCGTGAAGCGAGGCGAGTTATTCTTTAAAAAGCAGCGATTTTAGTAGTAAAAAGGAACTTTGGGACTCTTTTTAAAAAATAAAAAAATTAAATATAAAGAATTAAGTCAAGGTAATGTAAGGCAAAAGAAGTGGTGGAAATCTATCCCAGCTGTGGACAGAGAGAAAGGCAAGGTGCTTTGAAGATATCAGCAGTCCTGTACATATAATTAAGTCAAATTGTATTTTGTCCTTGTACTCTTGGTGCAAAGAAAATTATGTAGAGGGTGCTGAATCTTTACTTGATTTTCTAGGATCATTGTAAAGAGTTATTAGTAGTTCTTGTAAGATGAACAAGACTGTTTACTCGAACTCTAAATAGGGTTGCCAACATTTCCTTAATGCTGATGAATACACTGTTACCATCTTAAAAAAAGGAGTCCAGGTTGGGATCTCTTTTAGAAGAGGTCAAACATATGCTTATATAATGTTTTTGTTGAGTTCTTTTTTATTGTTATTTTACTAATCTGAGCAAAGTTTTTTTTTTTTTTTTTTATAAAAATGCTCTACCCAGACCCCACTTGTGGTAATATAATGGGTTTGTTGTTGTTATTGTTTTTAAAAATTGCTCTTCACTTCAAAGAAGCGCATGCTTCATGCTTTAAGCGAAGTGAGCCCCTGTCGCTTTTTTGCGCTTCGCTCTGAAAAACACTGTCCAAAAGTGAAAGATATGCTCACTAGCCCCGGGTGGGGGAATGGGCGAAGGTAGAGAGAGAGATCAAAAGGACACATATGTCTCACTACAGATCTTGTATCTTTCTCTACTATCAATATAAACACATACGGATATTTCCCTTCTGTCCTTTAAAAAAGCTTAGTTACTTATATGATTTAGATCGTTTCAGGCATCGAATCAACCTTTGCTTAAATTAGTTTGTAATTGGTTTTTGGTTGCCTTATCCATATAATTCGGTATCTGGTTGTTTCATGTGAAGATCACTTCTCAAACTAATGGCCAATCATTTCTTCTATGAAGTTGTTAGTTTTAATTGATTTGATAGTCATTTATATAATTATCTTTAGTTTACGAACACCCAAAGGTGTGGCCTGGTGGTCAATAAAGTGGGTTGAGAACCACGAGGTCTCAGGTTCATATCCTAGCGAAGACAAAAACTCTAGGTGATTTCTTTCCATATGCCCAAACCTTGGTGGATAAAGTTACCTAACTTGTACAGATGGGAGGTGGCATGTGCCCCATTGAATTAGTCAATGTGTGGGCAAGCTGGCCCGGACACTATGGGTATAAAAAAAATCTTTAGTTTACCAATCACTCCCCGAACTAATTTCAGTGAGATATTTTCTCAAAAACAAATTTCATAACACTGATAAATAAGCACCGTCAACAACTGAATCATATTGAACTATCAATAAACCTCAAGATAACTATGTTGAACTGATTGTTTGATTGACTTAGGTTTCTTTGCTTTTGCCATTTAAGTGATTTAAAATTTTCAATGTTAAGTTTGGTTGCTGGTCTATCAATTTAGTTGCTTGCTTCTTTTGGCACATTGAGATGGCTGTTTGGTGGTTTGTAGTGCTGAAGCATTAATCTATTCTGCATAACTAGGTCTAAGCATTTTATATTAGCTGTTCAAGTGGGTTCAAGTGTTCTATATTGCATTTTTAGCAGACCTAGATTTTAGTGATTGCTAAAAGCTGTACCTCACTTTGCTTTCTATTTCTTCCCTTTGTTTTTTGTTTATTGTTTCCCCAAATTTCTCATAAATACCGAAATCTTTTTTTTTTGTAGAGCAAGCTGAGAGTATATCTTGCTCCCTTTTTACACGGAATGCGCTACACGTCCTTTGGTCGCCATTTTACGAAAGTGGAGAAGCTGAGAGAGGTGAGCTAGAACTTAAAGCTTTTTTTGTCATCAGAAGATATATTTGTTGTTTGTTCTAGTGAGTTCGATTTCACCTCTCCGGCTGGTGATATCGGAAATTGAGCCAGAAAGAAGATTAAGTACGGGCTTTTGAATTTTTTTTTTTTTGGGGGGGGGGGGGTTGTTCCCCATCTAATTCCCTTGTTAAGGTAGTTTAAAATAATCTGATTATGTGCTAGCTTATCTCCATTTAATATTGCTCGGTGGCTCCATTTCCGATTTCTTATTTATTGTTTTGAAATATTCATACCTTAAGGTAGAGAAGCAGTGGTTGTTCCTTGGAGTAATTGTACTTGATTGACATACGTGCTTGTTAGGGCATTATCAGTTGATGANGATAAGCATTAGGTGCTGAAAAGCACTTTTAAGTGCTGAAACTGATTTAATAAATAAGCAGTTAAGTGTTTGGGTACAAGTGCTAAAATTGATAATAAGTTGCTGCAGCATTTGATAAAAAAATTGTGATAAGTTCTTTTTCTGTTAAAATGACTTAAATAACCTTAGAACTGTTTACACTTGTAAGGGCATAATTTCTTTAAAATTTTAGATTCCAGATCGATTCAAATACAAAATATTCTATTTGTTATTTTATTTTTAACTGTGTGCTTAGATAAGATAATTTTTATGATAAATATAATTTATTTTATGATAAGCATATTAATCATAAGTTATAATAATTAATAAATTGACAAAAGTTTCTCAGTAAAAAATAAACCTAAATAGGACAAAATATTGGAAGAGAAACAAACATTGTCTTCATCACCACAACACTTAGAAAGCAATTCACCAAAAATTTGATATGTCCTCATTTATTAAATACAGTTCAAAGATTAATACACAATCACATAGATATAAATATGCAAAGGAATAGAGAATTTGCTTATCTTAAATAGTCAATGAGAATTGCAGACTTGAAGAGGTTGGGGGAGGGGTTTAGGTTGAATACTTGAGGCAGTGAGTATCAATGTAGGAGTTTCATTCTAAAAAGGAATATTTTAAGGATAAAATAGTAAAAATCTTGGTCAAACTCAAAGTGCTTATAAGCTAAAAATTCATAAGCTGGGGGTGGCTAGCTTATGACTTATTTTTGACTTATAAGCACTTGGCTTATAAGTACTTTTAACTTTACCAAACACGTAGATAAGCCAAAAAGTGCTTATAAGCTAGTTTGACTAGCTTATAAGCTTAGCCAAACACCCTCTTAGTCATTGGTGTTCTCACTTTTATCTTTCTACTTTGTGGAAAGAGGAACTGCTTGTTCTTGTCACTTGAAATCTTTTTAAATTTTAGGATCTCTTGTTGGCTGCTGGAGACTGAGATACAATCAATCTCAGTGTTCAGAATACCGAAAGTGCGCATGCCTAGGTACGGCAGATTTGTGTGTCTTTTATCTCTGGAAGAATCATTGCAAGTGCTGTCTGTCTGTCTTTGGGGGAGCTTAAGTCATCACCATCCTGGAATATGCAACCAAAGTTTAGGGCATCATTTTTTCCCTTCTACTTTATGTGAACGAGCTGTGGATTATATAAGGAATTTGATATCCTTTCCACCTCTTCCAATAGTGAAAAAGCATGAATCATTTTGAGCTTTCTGGTTGGATCATTTTGAGCAGTGATCTCTCTGACCATGATCTATGATATTCTTTTAGTGCATTGTATTGCATGTCTAATCATTAGATCGTAGAATGTCATCACTGCTTTGGTATTTGCAGCCATTTTTGAATGCGTCTTCCGTCTATTTTATTTGGAATAGCAATGGATTATATAATGGATGTTATCTACTTCTCACCTCTCGCAAAAGCTGACAAAGAAAAAAGGCAAAAAAAGGAGAGGATAAAGTAAAAATTACCCTTTCTAGGTTTGTACCACTTCTGCACCTTCTGGCTGGATCATTTGAGCAGTGATTTTCCCTTGACCGCGCTCTATGATAATTTTTCACTGAATCTTATTTCATGTCTAATCCGCACGGTGTCTGTACATTCCATATTTTGCTCAACTAATAGTATGCTTCTATTGTGCAGATTGCCGATATGCTTCATTGGTATGTTCGAGAAGGTGATATGGTAGGAGTCTGTACTGGCCTTACGCTTTATGAGTGGAAATCTAGTTACCAACTTGAGTACATCAATTATATATATATATTTCTCACAAAAAAATTGTGAGATAAAGAGCAGATGGATCCTATTTTTTTTCTGTCATGTAGATTGGTTATAATCCTCCAACTTTATTCATTGGTATTCTGCTATAATAACATTTTTATAGGGGAATATTTTATTTGGAATGATGATGATATGAATTAAGCTTAAAGAAAGAAGTGAGGATTCATATAGCCGACCCCAACTTGTTTGGGATTGAGGGCGTAGTTGTTTTTTTTTGTTGTATAGAATGACATCACACATGGTTAGAAGTGTCTCAAGTTCCTGTAATATATTATCTGCGTTCAATTCATCTGTTAGATAGGTGTTACTATTATGATCTCTTGGGGGCAATTTTTAGTGCGGTGAAGTGGCTTTCCCCACTTGGCTGGGGTCAAAAGACAAGAGAGAAAAAGATTATCTTTCTGATGCTTGTTTGGGGCTCCTGTTTCCCTTTGTTGGCTTATGTCATTCTTTTCTTATGGTTTCGCCCGCCTTTAGCGTGGATTAGTTAAAAATTTCCTTTGAAGTTCGTCCAAAGTATATTATAGGCAAGTGACAGGAAAGTGAGGTACATGGACCAATTAGTCAACTGTTTTTTACATATCTTTCTTCTATTTTCTTAGATGTAAGGAATAGCCTGCAGTTCAGTCACCCGCGGCTAATTCAATTCACTCTTCTTGAAGCTCTTGTGAAATAGTCTCTGTGGATCCTTTTATTTTTGGGGGCAAAGACACAATGTCATCCCAAAATCTGAAATGGATATTGGCATTGATGGTGGCAGTATGGAGATTATACAACGCAAAGCTATTGACATGATGTATTTGATCAAGTTAGAGCGAATCTTGTTTTCAATTGCTTGTAACTTAGTGTTTAAATGCATTACGGTCAAATTTAAAGACCTCCCTGGGGATTAAAAGTTTGTTGAACCTATTCTTCTATTTGAGTGACAAAAAGTGCAGTTCGAGTTAACCATTATGTTTGGGAAATTTGATGTAACTGAAAGTAGGACTTCTCAGTGTACTTCGGAATGTGTGCAAGAGGAGATCTTTTATTTTGGCATGAACATAATATGGCTAGAGTTAGGCTTGCTCAGTAATGGTGGAAATGGCATGATTGAATTTTTGCTATTATGTTTGATTTTATGCATGGCGTGGAAGTAGCGGAAATGATGATGCTTAGATGGATGTGCGGGCATACTAGGAGAGATAAGATTAATAATGAAGTAGTGGACAAGATGCAGGAAGCGAGGCTGATATGATTCGAGAATGTGAAGAGGAGGAGCATGGATGCCCAGTAAGGAGGTGCGAGAGGTTGGCAGTGACAAGTCTAAGGAGAGGTAGAGGTAGGCCAAGAAAGAATTGGGGAAATGTGATTAGACAGGACATGACACATCTTCAGCTCACCGAGAACATGACTCTAGATAGGAGAGCATGGAGGTCGAGGATTAGGGTAGAAGATTAGTAGGTAATCGAGCGATTTCTCTGTTATTTTGTGAGAGAATATGATTCTAGTTTAGAGCACTTTATCTACCCCCTCTTCTCTGTATCATCATCATTATTGTTGTTGTTATTATTATTATTCTATCATTATCTTATTATTCAATTGTATTCTACTTTTGTTTCTTCTACTTTGGGTATCATTACCATCTTAATGTAATTATTTTTTTTCCTTTAGTATTTTCATCTTAGCTTTTCTTTTTTACTCTTGTATTTTCCACCTGTTTTGAAAATGCTTTTCTTGAGCCAAGGGTCTACTGGAAACCACCCCTCCACCTCACACAAGGTAGGGGTAAGGTTATGTTGTTGTTGTTGTCGTTTGATTTTATGTGTGGTTCCTCCTTTATCCAGAAGTTATGGCAACATCCATGCACAATTTGGATAACATGTAACATAGTGTGAAATCTGGATTGGATTTATGTAGACCCTTATTCATGCATTTAATGTGATCCATGAGAAACCTTTTTTTCTCCATCATCCATGAGAAACCTCACTTGTTTAGAAACACAATCATCTGTGTCTGCCTCTGTTATACTTCGGAAAATGATTCGTTGAACTCTAATTACATTTGACTTATATATCTGCCAGGAATCAGGATAATGTTATTTATGATATTTCTAAAGCTTCTAAGCTCAGGGAACCTTCTTTGTTTTAGCAGGCAATGGATTTAAAGTTTTTGTTGTTTGTTGAGCAGATTGTGGATTTCTGTTGCGGTTCCAATGATTTCAGCTGCCTCATGAAAAATAAGCTGGATGAGATGGGGAAGGATTGCTCATATAAGAATTATGATTTATTCAAGCCAAAGGTGAATGTTTTTTCCTTGTTTAGTATGTGCACATTTCTGGTGGAAGTTATACAAACACGTAGGTCGGAATCTTTTTAGCATGGAGGAGAATGCTTTAAGAAATGATGATAGACGTTGATACTTTGACAAGTGACTGTCTATATGCTTTGGTTGTTTGGAACATTACATTACTTATTGCCGTTCTTTGTCCTTCCTGCAGAATGATTTTAATTTTGAAAAGAGGGATTGGATGAAAGTAGGGCCTGATGAATTGCCAGCAGGATCGAAGTTGGTAGGAAATAATTCTTTTTAGAACACAACATTCACAGATGTATGCCAGGCACCAAAATTCATTGGTTTTCACCATATATTGTGTGGACTTACATTTTTTTTTATCCCTTGGTGTAGATCATGGGGCTGAACCCTCCTTTTGGGGTCAATGCTGCTCTTGCTAACAAATTTATTGATAAAGCACTTCGGTTTAAGCCCAAGCTTCTTATCCTTATTGTACCAAAAGAGACAGAACGGTATTTTGCATCTCTGTTATTTGTGTGAACTTCTTTTCTTGCCTTTCTCTTTCTGATTTTGATTAATTTTTTGTATTGGAACCAGGTTAGATGTAAAAAAAGGGTATCCATATGATCTAATTTGGGAGGATGATGTGTTGCTTAGTGGGAAGGTAGACTGTTTCTCACCGTTCTTGTGATTGGTATTAAGAATGAATATGTATTGGTATTGTGAATATAAACTAGTAACTGTCTGATGGCTCATCCTTATTCTTTTCCAGTCATTCTATTTGCCTGGATCTGTTGATGCAAATAACAAACAAATGGAGGACTGGAATGTGAGTGCTCCACCACTTTATCTTTGGAGTCGCCCTGATTGGACAGCCGAACATAAAGCAATTGCCCAACAGTATGGCCACCCGTCCAAGATGCAAGATAAATTAAAAGAAAGTTGCTGCCACACACCTGTCCCTCGTTCAGTGGAACATGGTGATGATGTTGAGTCGACGAGGATCGGTGATGATATTGATTTCGAGGATAAGAAGCTACATCAGGACCAAGAATACAGGGAGAGATCGCAGAATAACATTGGCAAAGAAGGTGGTGATAACCTGGGCCATGCGAAGATCAGATCTGTTGAGAAGTCGATGAAAGGGAATCAGGATAAAAGCAAGAACAAATTTGATGAGAAGTCGATGAAAGAGAGTCAGGATAAAAGCAAATATCAAAAAGATTTGGATGAGAAGTCAAGACAGGACAAGTCCAAAGCGAAACGTCCACGAGATTTGGTAGAAAAATCAACAGAGGAGATATATATTGGGAAAAGATCTCTGTCTAGACATTCCTCCCCCAGCGTGACCAATCATAAGTCAGCTGATCAGCACGCGGTTTCATCTTGTAAGGCAGAAGAGAAGGAACGCTATGAACGATTTGCTGGCCAGAGTGCTTCTGCATTACAGACAGAGCAAGAGACAGGGTATGGGGTGCATCAGGACAGTGATATGGAAAGAAGGCACAGCTTGCTAAAGGAGGAGCCTTATTCAAGTTTGACTCACCAATATCCTCAGTCTGCTAGTCCTGGTCCCGAGTATGTGGGGCACGGGGCACATCCGGATGGTGACATGGCAAGAAGGAACAGCTTGCCGATGCAGGAGCCTTATTCGACTTTAAATCACCAATATTCTCAGTCTGCTAGTCCTGGTCCTGAGTATGCGTTTAGGGCCTCAGATGAACGGTTTGTGGGTTACCAGAGAGAGCGTGCAGATATGCCTGGTTATAGACCATACCCCAGTCACATGAATGGGGGGGTATATGCAAGGGAGTCAGATGTACGGCCTCAGGGTAACCTTTATGGGCAGCTGGGTAATGAGTTTTCGAGTCCCAGAAGCAACTACACAGCGGGTGCCAGCACTGGTTATCCCTCCTATGGGCGGTTGAGTCCAGTAACTGAACCAACCTATGGGAGGATTAATACTCCTGTGATGCCACAGTATGCTCCACATGATGATTTGTATCCTGGTAGGATGAATAGCATGGGATCTGAAGGCAGAAGTGGCATCTACGGTGGTGGAGTTGCTCGACCTGGGTTTCCAGGTAGCTCATCGGGTTTTGCTCCAAGGCCTTACTACCCCTTTTCACAGCAAAACTCGTCAGGGTGGCTTAACGAGTAGGCATTGGCTGGTTGGAATTATTTTTCAGCAGAATGCCTTTGCGGAGTGTTGAAGATTTTCCTATTTATGTTCGTCATGGTTCTCTTCCTAGTGTCTTCTTGTTCCATCCTATCAAACTTCTTTTTGCTTATTTTGTATAAAGAATAAGCTAGAAATGCACAGGCAACTATGCTCCTTGAATCTTCTCTAGGGGATTGAAACTTTTGTTGTATATCCTTTTGTTCCTCCACTTCACCATCTCTCTTCTAACTGGTGTTGCCTTGCTCAGTTTATGAAAGTTGGATTTGTGATGACCACGAGCCTGTGACGTTTTTCTCCTCCTGTTTATTATTTATGGCGCAGGTGCCAAGGCTTTGAAGTATTTGAATATTTCCGATTACTGAAAGAGATTGTTTCACAATTCTTGGCATTTGGCTCTCATAATAGATCAGGATGTTAAAGAGCTTTTTAATCTCAAGTAATCCGATTTTAATCGTGAAGTGGTGTCATAGTAAGCTAGCTATCTCTTTCAGCGGGAATGTTGATTTATAGGAAATTAAAAAATGGACAGAGTTTGGGGCATCACAAGACTTCAATACATTTCACATGAGGTTGGACAGCTTCAGAGGACTTTGAAATACTCGTCCCGTCGTGGCAGAATTGAATCAAGAAAAGATTTACAGCTAAAAGATTAGAGGAAATGAAATCAGTGTTACAATTTAAATAGAGAAACAGACCATACAAAAATCTTGTGTGTTTTATCAGTGTTATACTTTACGGATCTCAAAACACAGTAGCTCTATGTTATTTTCTTATATTGAAGGTGTACTTGGTTCTGGAAAGTCAGCTGCACTAAGCACTTATTTGTGGTATCACAATTATCTGAATACCAAAAACTAATGCTTTGACCTATTAACCATTAGGGGTTATTTTTTTGTTATTACTAGATAATAAATATTCCTTAGTCAATTGATCACTCTTCGTCGAAAAATTACACTATATATACAGCTAAAATATTATAGTTTAGAGGTAAATAACATATATTGAACATTCTTTGTCGGATAGCTTCGTCACTGATCGCAAGTAATATTGGACATATTCAACCCTTCAATGTAACAATGGTAACTTCGGCCAACACAAAAGATGAAACTTTACCAGTGTGGAGCGACATTTTGCAAAAGAGGTGGGCTGAACTCAATTGAAATATACAAGGCATAAGCGATTTGACCACTTATCTACTGTCTATTATACAAAAAAAATACTTCATAGCAATAAAGTGCATTTGGCACATATTACATTAACGCAAAATGTACTACCCGTAAAAGTGAACAGTCGCAGTTGGCATTCACTCTTGCATGCCACCTTCCCATTCTTATCGATCAGAGAAAGAAAGACAACTCCGGTGAAGGGGTAAAGGGAAACATCCTTTCACCAAAACATTCAAACAGAGATGGCAACAAACGCGCGGCATCCAAATCTTCCTTCCAGGCCTGATCAAGCGTAGCCGGCGTTCTTTGACCTTGCACACCAGTCATCTCCCTTCTGCTGCTGCTTCTCGGCATATTCTCGTTGTGCAAACCTTGTGGTGCTGATGATAGACCAGTTTCCGTGACCCCCAAGGCTGCAGCGTATCGACCAGCTGGTCCTTGCGTGCTTACTGGCAAAGAATTTGTTGTCATTGAACCTGTTGAACCATCTGTCATTAATTTCTTGGGTGGAGGCTGCGCCATCATGTTATCCAGGCTTGCTTTGCGTTTGTCTAGACAATTGTTTTTTTTTTTTGGTTAGTGTTTGCCGAGACAAAATCAAGAAGAGACAATGATAGAAGTGCATAAATATTCAAAGATGAAGAGAGAAAACATTGCAGGAGACATTAAAGTTAAAGCACTTGGACAAAGAAGACATCCACAAAAGAGGATTTCCAACTTTGATTTCAAATGACCGACCAGACAGAACTAGCAGGCCAGGTCGTAGGGACTTCAGAGATAACGAGTTAAATCACTTCAGGAGTCTTAATTACTTCAACATATACGACGGATTCTTGAATTCCTAATAGATCAGCATCCACATTATTCTGCAAGGGGATGGCTCAGTTATAACCCAGAAAGAAAATGAGAATAATTGAACAAACCTGTCATACCGATCATATCAATCTTGGAACTATTTCAATATTGACACTCCAAGAGGTAGGACATATTTAACAGACAGAAGGCAAAAGAACTAAAATTTGTAGTCAATAGATTCGTAGTTATAGATTCCTCTTTGGGAATTAATGGAATAAGTAAAACAAAGAGCTAAACATACTCGACAATGTAGTTGAGACTTTCCATTTACTCTTCAGGAGTGTGCGAGTAGATGGAGATACTGATGCAGGAAGCAACTTGAAGCGCTCATACATGCATAAACCAGCAGCACACTGTGCACATAATTAGAAGAGTTAATTGCAGTAATGCCAAACTATCTAAAAATAAAAGTTAGAAAAGACATATTTAGCTATGTTCATTTTCACATAGAAATAATTGGAAAAAACAATGAGGTAAGACTCATTAACCATTCAAGACAACTAACCATCAAGGCTCCATATACTCGCCAAGCTTCAAGCCTCTTCATTTCATTTTTTTGCTTCTCAAGCTGCATTTCTGGCTCCAGCAATTGTAAATAAGCCTCAAGATTTGGCAACACAAGTAGGCGAACCTACAAAATTAGAATATATTACCAATTGCTTACACGTCAAAATTTTAGAAGGAAAGAAAGTACAGAGAGAACAAGGAGATACCACACCAGGTCCAAGAGCTGCTAGCCCTTGAATTGCTCCATAATGTTGAGGCAGCGCCTTAGTTGGATCCAGAAAAGCATGCAGCAAAGTACTGGTGACACGTGGCTGGAGATTGTGGTACATATGACCATGTCTGCACAGCTTTCACTTGTGAACAATATAGCACCAGTTGATAAATATGGAAAGATTACCAATACCACGGAACTGAAAGATTAGCTACTGTCTATAAAGCACGAAACAGAAATATAGTGTTGCAATTGCCAGCAACTATACAGATACATGCACTAGCAGCCATTAACAACTCCCTTCTCATGGGAGCGGCAAAAAGTAAAAGGGAAAACAAACTCCAAGCCCAACACATAATGGGCGAATTCAGTTAGAGATAACAGCTTGATTTTGAAAAGTCAAATGGGAGAATCAACATCGAAGCAACAGCCAAGGACGCAGATGTATACTTTCTGTAGCTTCTAAATGTGAGAACTTAGTGATCCTTACCTCTTGCATATTAAAGCAACCAACTTTGCTGAGAAGTCCCTAAGTTCCCAATGATTGTCAGAAATTCTGTTTCCCAACCTTTTTGCAACAAGGCATGTCAATATAGAAGGCATCAACTGGTGCAGCTGGAGATGAATTCGCCAAAATAAAAAATAACGAATAAAATTTGACACAAAAGAGAAAATCATCGGATCAACCACGACATAACTAGACACCCAACGAATCAAAGCTGCATCGTTAAGGCCAAAGCCTAGTTTTCCATTATGCATACAACACTACAACCTAGTTTTCCATTATGTATACAACACTACCCTGATGAACAAAGTAAATTAACAAAGCTTATTCAAACTAAAGAAATAATAATGCGCTCTTTTTAGAATGATTAATTAGTGCAATTAAACCCTATCTCTTTCCTCAACGGGCATGTACTTACCTTTTCTGCTGTCATTTTAAAGCCATTTTCATAAACGTTAAAATTTAACGAGTCCAATCATCAACACAAAATTTCAAACATTATCCTAAACCTGCTTTCCAAGTAAGTTGTGGCAACCAAGATATCAGCAATAGACTCACATATGGTTCCATATGTATTTGTGTATTTTGGAGAAGGCTCCAGACTAGCCGCATCAAAGAGAAAAGGAGAGGAAAATTGTTCAATTTCCGAGCAACCTGACATGTAACAAACTATCATTAGATCATTGTCCATTACCCACTAATGTTATGAACTGGGCTTAAATTGGCTAACAATTACCTCATCAGCAACAAAATATGTAAAATAAGGAACTAAAGGATGAATCCCTGAGTCCGTTGCTAAGCTTGCTAGAGCTTCTTTAAAGAGAAGAGGATTCGATCTATTCAAAGTAAGCTCTGTAATTTTGTCATAATAGAGCTGCAAACAAAATCACCAAGGCATAAGAATTGAATCTTTTTGGATGGTCAAAAAGGATACAAACATTTTGGTACAGTTATACCTGGAGCTCACGGGATAGAACATGCTTAACAGGTACTTTAATATCAACAGGAACTCCATCCTCCTTATACTCGGTCTTTCTATTATCAGAGGGCATAGCAAAGGCTGCGACAAATTAATAAGTTAGTCTGGCATATTGAAATAGCATTAGATACAAATTTTAACTAGTACTTATACCTCATTTCTTAGAAGTCACGGGGGAGAGAAAAATCTTTCAAACCGGGAGGCAGAATAGACATAAGAATCAGTAGGAAAAGAACAATACGCATGACAAACTTGTTTTCATATGACTAAAGTGAAACAAATGTTAAAACATCCAGACAAACTAACTGCAGCTAAGATTGTTACAAAATCCGGACCTTCAGGCGGAGGGTTTTCAGGAATAGCAGGCTGTACTCCATCTATAGCTAACCAATGGGCAACAACAGCAGTGTCTACCGGTGCTTTAGGCAAAGGAGTTTCGATCACCTAAACCAGAAAACACATCAACTTATACTATGAGCATCACTTCAATAAATTCACAAACTAAGTTTGGTACTGAAACCTCCAGTATCAAAGTTCTTTACATCTTTGAATTCTACATCCTTCTCTTCAATGTAGAACAAATCCTTGTGTCCAGCCGCTCTTCTAAACCTTAACGGGTCTCCTGAAGCTAAACCATATATTGGCTGCTCAAGGCAACAAATACATAAAAGAACAATCAATTAAACCACAATGTCAGACTAGATCGATCAGCAATAACCTATATATTAAACAGAGCCAAAATTTGATGTTTATGCGTTCACAATCAAATTTTTGTAGATACTTAGTGGATTTCTTAATACATACAGTCTTTGTCAAAGTTACTGAGTTCCCGTGAACCCATAGGTTAGAGTGTAGATATATATATATATATATATATATATTAATACACAAATTGGCTGGTATAAGAACAGAAGAGGTACCTCTACGCCTCTCAAGCTGAGTGCAGCATCCACATCATCAGTCGATAAGGTCGTTCTCCTCGAATGACGCATACATTTAATAGCTTCCTAAATTATCAAACAAAATTTTATGCAAATTACATGCTCCGT